AACCACTGACCTATCGAGGGTATCAGCATCCCTGTACGCATGAAGCGCGAGAAACCCTATCAACGCTAGATCTCCTAGCACGATGATCCAGCTGAGGAAAGTTGACCAGGAGAATATGAGATGAAGGACGAAGATGGCAGTGAAGACGAGACTAGACTGCCAGGCATGAAACCTAGAGGCATGGTATTAGCGAGGTCGCCTCTAGCTGCTGGACTTGAACACGCCTCTCGAGACTCTCCCATATCTCTACTCATTGGAATGTAAAAGCCAAAGACTAAGCCCAGAACGGCGCGGCACGCTGAGTCTATAAGTGGGATGGTTTCAAAGCACACTCACCTGACATAATCACTCTTCCTTTCTAGAATCAGCAGTAAAATCGCGCCGAGTGGCGGTATCCCGATGTACGCAAGCATGGCCTCGTAATCCAGCCGGATACCCAGACTCGTGTCGAACTCACTGACGAACTCTCCGTTGCCGCCTAACCCTATCCCGCGGCCCCCAGCCCCGCCTGCGCCGCCGCCACCAAAGCCCTCCTCGGACGCGTATGCGGCATGCCAGGAGCGTTGGGGTTGCGGATGTTGCAGGGGCGGCGGAGAGTGCGCGGCAAAGTTGCGCGGAGACGGGCTGAAGGACTGCCTGTGATCGAGGGATGCGCGCGGCGAGGTGGTCCCTTCGGCGACGGGGGGAGAGAAGGGCCGGTTATTCTCGGGCGGAGAGCTCTGGTATGGCGCGAAATCCATGGCGAAAGGTCCCTCCTTGGGGTCCCGCGTGGCTATTGTTTGTGTAGGTAGTTGTCGAAGGACTCGCCTCTAATTTGATGCAGGCTTTGCTATCTGGTCATCGGATACGGAGGACGAGAATGATGATGGGATAAAGTACTAGTCGCGTAATGTAATGTAATGTATTACTACCTTCGTGAGATTACGATGTAGTGCGGCGGACGAGGATGAGGAATGACGTTGATAACATCGTAGGGTCTTAGCTCCTTAGCTCTAGATCGGTACCGGGTACACTATAAATAATATAAGTAGGACGAGGCAGGCTGGACTTAAACTTGTACTATGTATGGCGCAATCAACCACTGGCGGGAGCTGTGGCCTGTCGGTGCGTTTAGTGATATGCAGGGTCTAGTTTAGCGCATTCTACACCTAGAATAGAATAAACTGTGCTACCTACAGTGCCTACCTAGGCTGGTACTTTACATCCCCAGCTGATATATGTACGTACGTACTTAAACCTAAGGTATGATATACATGTATGATGGACGGTATGTACCTTTAAGAGGGCAAGTAAGTACTTAAAGGTAGGTAACGTTATTAAGCATATACACCCCTGAATATTATGCATAGGGCCAGAGGGCAAATCCGCTAATCGAAGACCTGATTTCTGGGGCCGTTGTCGTTTTCATACTACATGGTAGAGCTAGCCTCCACTGTGGTTTCCAACCATAATTTAGGTGGATTAGATGCACCACGATGGTTTCTACAGGTATGGATTCCATATACATCATTTCTTCTAGGTATACTATTATACATCGCTCTATAGCACATACAGATGAATAGTACACGCCTTCTAAACATTGGTCTCATTTCCTGCGTCACCTTCCTTTTTGCCGCCGTTGGATTCTTCCTCTAGCTGTGTCCGCCTGCCCTCGAGAGCTAGCCACAACCCCTTACTGTGACCTTCCAAAGCCATCGTAATACCAAGACCGGCCTGTTGTAATAGGGCAACGAGCTGTGCCCGCAGCCCATCGAGACCGCCCTCAATACCACCAACCCATCTAACCCCGTCGTTATCGAAAGCCTTGCCCTCTATCCTACCGCCCACGAGGATTAATTTCTGGAATCCGCTCTGGGAAATAGGATCGTGGTATCCGGGGCTCTTCCTCCGCGTCGGCGCAGGGAACGCAGGAGATGGCGAGAGGACCTTGAGTACGGCTGCCAGGTGTGCCGGTGAAACCGAGGGGAAAGTAACGGCGGCAACAGGCCCAATGATCAAGGGGCTAATTTGTCCGTATATGGACGACTCGTCAACTGTGGTCCCCTTGATCGATTCGTAGGCTGTCTTAGACAGGTCGTGTGTGTAAGCATTGGACTTCTCGGCCTGGTCTTCGGGTTTGAAGTATTCAACAATCTTGCAGGCCATGCTAAACATGCGCGTGCGTAATACCTGCAACTCAATACCGGATGAGATATCGACTGGGGCGGAGCCATCAGGTCCGGCAACAGGAGATGGAACTTCTGCCAGGGCGGCACGCAGCTCCCGTCGCACAGCGGCCCACTCCACGGCAGTGAGGTTGTTATGTTGGAAGAAGAGCATCAGAGGCGTCGATCGTAGCATTGCCGTATAGGAGCGAAGAAGCTGGGCCTTTCTCTCATCGGGCCGCCGGGCAGTTGGGGGTTGGGTCGGAGGGATATAGTCGTCGGGTAACCTCAGAGAACTAAGGGGTACTGGGGAGCCTGCTGTCGCATACTGCCTCGAGGCGGCCTTCGTCGCATTCTGAACAACGAGGGTTGGTACTCTCGTCGAGCTTGCTGTCGTTCGCTGGAGAGCTCGCCCGACGCTGCTACGCGCAGAGCAAGTGAGCCGTGGCGGCATTGTGGGCAATTCTGCGTTCCCTAACTAGCCCTTCTTTCTTGGACCTGTTCTTCAACCTTGGCGTCGTTGTTGTCGTCGTCGAGATGATGGGGATAATTATCATTTACGCTCCAGACCCCAGTTGACTGGTCGCAAAAAGCTGGCACGAAAAATAATTGGACCGCGCTTGCTTCCGGCCAAGGGTGGGCTAGGCGGGCCTTGGCGATTGACGGTTGAGGGTTCGGGGTCGGTGGCCGGAGGTCGGAAGTTTCTATCTCCAGTCTCAGCAGATCTGCCGCGTCCCACCGCCTCAATTGATAACAGATCCCGCCCGAGACATCGTCCCCCGTACACCCCTTACCCCTGTCCCCCTGTCCCCTTGCCCCTCCAATCTACCCCTCCACTAGGTATCTACTACAGTGTATCTAAGCAGTAGTACTACTAGTAGTAGCCTTGGAATGACAATGATGGCGGGGCAACTCGACCATCAATATTTTGGGGTTGCTATCCTTTTACCTGAGTCACTTAGGTACGGGAAGGGATGAGTCTGTAGTCTACACCTAGTGACTCTATGCCAATTGAAGTTACTCTCAACCTGCTTATGCTTCCTATAATTCTTCCCCAAGTTGCTTTACCTCTTCCACGCTAGAGCTTCGTCACAACGCGGGGGCAGCTCACAGGAAATTCGCTGAGGATATTCTGTCCGAACTCGGCAGCTTTTGCGATATGGCCGCTCCTACGCAAGACCAACAAACTCTGGCAGACATCCGCCCTTTGCTGCAACGTCTGTGGCCGGATCCTGAGAAGGAGAAGGTGACGGCCCATGAGATTGCTGAGGCTATCTCTCTCATCTTTGTTAATAAGCTAAGCCCTGTTCAAACAGGCTCACTCCTGACAGCCCTGCATTTTACAGGCTGGGACCGTCGCGCTGATGTCTTGGCTGAAGCCTCGGCTGCCATGCGGCGCCATGCAGCCAAAATTGACTTTCAGGGCTTAGCGAGCGCTATATCGAAGAGAAGGCGGCCGGAGGGAGGCTACCTGGGTGGACTGGTGAGTGTTCCCCGACAGCGATTAGGCGGCGAAGACCAAAAGCTAGTGGAAGCCCTGAATCAAGAGCCTAGAGAAGCAGCGCTGACCTATCCTGCAGTGTGACATCGTTGGCACAGGAGGCGACTCTCACCACACGTTCAACATCTCCACCACATCATCCATCCTCGGCTCTACTTTGCTCCTCATCGCGAAGCATGGCAACCGCGCATCAACCTCCAAGTCTGGCTCTGCCGACCTGCTCATGAACATGCAACCCAAACCTGCACAGCTCGCTCGCATCACGCCCGATACCATCTCTACCGTCTACCAGTCCACCAATTACGCCTTCCTTTTCGCCCCTGTATTCCACCCCGGCATGAAGCATGTTGCGTCCGTCCGTAAAGAGCTCGGATGGCGCACCATCTTCAATCTCCTAGGCCCCTTAAGCAATCCCCTCGACGATGCTATTGAAGCGCGTATGTTGGGCGTTGCGCGCGATGACCTAGGCGCCGTCTTCGCCGAGGCTTTGCGGTTGGCCGGTGCTAAGAAAGGGCTAGTAGTTTGCGGCCAAGAGCAACTTGACGAGATCTCGTGCGCTGGACCTACCCTCTGCTGGCAACTGGTCGGAAATGGCGACGATGATAGCGTCCGGGTCCAGCATTTCTTACTCGAGCCTAAGGACTTCGGGCTCAGTGCACATCCACTCAGCACTGTATCCCCAGGGAAAGAACCTCACGAAAACGCAGAAATTTTGCGTAAGATTCTGCAGGGTGAACTACCGGACAACGACCCCATCCTCGAGTTCGTGCTCATGAATACGGCGGCCCTATTTGTTGTGTCAGGCATCTGTGAGGCTGACACAAGTGCTATGGGCCCTGGTGACGATGGTAAAGTGATTACAGAGAGAGGCCCCGGAAACGGGCGCTGGAAGGAAGGAGTCAGGAGGGCAAGGTGGACAATCAATAGCGGCGAAGCGTGGAAACAGTGGAGTGCTTTTGCCGAAGTTACGAATGCCTTGCCCATATGAGGCCAGTGAACATATAATACAGAGAAAAAAACGAAAAAAGATTGCGATAAGTCGCAGTGGTATCTCTAGAAAGACTATCAGAACGCTGATAATATCTCGAATCTATCCGGTTTGCTTCGTTTGCTACTTGAAGTCAGTCATAGCATACCGCCTTAGACCACAGGTTGTGTGTGTGGTATATATATACTACCTACCTACCAGGTCCTTCGAAAGAGATATGCTACTTACTTTATACCACCTATCTCTCTATCTCCCTCTTTCCTTCTCACTCGTTAGCAATAGAAAATAGAAAAGGAAAAAAGTTCAAAAAATTGTAGTGAATGCTTGCTTGATTGTAGGATAATCACAAGAACAAAGAAAATAAGCTCTCTCGATCGGGGAATCGAACCCCGGCCACCTGCGAATTTTCATGACTACTACTAAATGTCCAGTGGACCATCGTGGTGAACTAGACCGTAGTGTGATGACAAGCAGGTATCCTGACCACTAGACCAATCGAGACTTGGATGGTAACTTGCGAACTAAACTTGGTACATAACTAAGTGTAGCCGGCATGGTTTGTGTTATAATTGTCAAGATTTGCCTCGCCATTCACGGTTGTGCGACGAGAGCTAGTCAGAATATGGATTACATACGAAACGTTTCTTTTATATGTTGAAAAATAACTCTGGAGGTTTTTTTTTATAGATAAATCTAACAAGAAAGGCCCTGTCATGATTCTGGAATTGTTTCACGCTCAAGTGAAAGAAGTAAAACTAGACCTATGCTGTACGGAAGGATAACATAGGTTCAAGTTACTTTATTAAGAGTGACTACCCGGGGTTAGTTAGTAAGTTAGCATCGAGCCTTCAGAATCTAGATCGCTGCATTGTTGTCGTAAAATACAAGACGCTTTAAGGGTTCACATTACGCCATACAAAAGAATGCGTCGTACTAGTTTTGATACCATGGCTAACTGACATTAGGGGGGTATTTCCTGGGTTGTGCTATGTATTCGTGTGTAAACGCATTAACAGCAAGATTCGTGTGATTTTGTTATTTAGAGGCAAGATAACCTCGGTGTCATTCTGAGGTGAGCATATATCCCAAGATAATGTATTGGGCATGAAGTTTGCGGCTCAGCTTCGACATAATAGTCTAACTAGATAGAACATGGCAATCGATAGTGGCCGTAATAGGCAATGGTATCAAAATGACCAGGAGCAGTGGATGGTTTTTTAATACGTTTCCTTGGGTTATAATGGATGGTGATTATGCCTACTTAACGTACTGCTTGAAGACGCCTAGGCAAGCACGGCATGCGTTGGTAGCCAATATCTATCTACTAAGAGAAACTATTGTCCCACTAGAGTGCTCAATTGGTAGTCCGCTTAATGAGCGCCTCGTCTGCCCCGATTCCATTTACCCCTGAAACGCCGATTAGGACTTTTCCTTGACCCATCCTCATCCTATCTAGACAGTACGCCACGAACGGTTCCCTTCAACGTTGGCTTACTCTCAAAGATACGCTCACTAATGCCGGTATCGCCTCCGCTTCCAATATCAAGCCATCGTGCTAACAAGTCGTTACTCTCCTTGGGTTTGACACTATCATCGCGTGTGCCCACAGTAATATGAGCTACCTTGTTGACACACGTCCATTTGTCATCTGGGTCTAGCAGCCGTACCACAATAGCCATTATGCGGTCGTCGAATACGACGCGCTCTAGTATAACTTCGCACTCGCCAACCTTGCCATCCACAGACTGGCTCTCAGCTTCGAGGGCGGTGTAGCGCTGCCATAGTTCAGGGTACTGTTGAGCGGTGACCCTATGCATGAGTGTGACGTGGAAAAGAGACTGGATGCGTCGGGTCTGTTGGAGTTGCTTGTAAAATCGTTGCGCCTGTGGATCAAGGCCCTTAAAGGCAGACTCAAGTATTACATTGACTTCTTTGGCGGGAACTGAGATAGACATGTATTCGAGCGCCTTCTTCTTCTTAGAGTCCTGTGAGTGCTGAATCTCCGACCGTTTTTGTTCCTTCTTACTCGTGCGATCAGGTATTTTGTGCTTTATACTGGGCGTGTAATCCTCGATGGCACCCTTGACGGCCGCGTCTAGATCTTCCGCACTTGGCATAGTAGGGATTAACAACGGATATTTCTTGCGAAGCTCGGTGACCACTTTCTCTACATTTACACGGCTTCCCTGCGCTGGGTCGAGATCAATAACAAGGTCGAAACCATCATCAGGTTCGCTATCCGGGTTGCAAGGTTGGAATCTGGATATGAAGTTCTCCATGATACCAATGACCTTATTTTCCTCTGATGCCGCTTGGATAGTTTGATGATTATCACCACGTTTCAGCACTCGCTCTCTCGTCACTCTTCTGACTTCATCAATGTCGCCATGGCTAAAATTTAGACCAATGAGTCGGGCGTTCTTGTGCTGTATGAGGACATCCTTGATAATTTGTTCTCGCTCTCGACGTTCGGAGTTATTTCGGTCGGCAATAACGACGGGATGGTCCACCAAAAGTGACATAACAGCCTGAACCAGTCTTGCGGGACGTCCCTTGCCTTGAATATTGTCGTTCTGAACGATACCCCAACCGAACAGATGAGTTAAAGCCACACCCACGGTAGTTTTCCCGCATCCAATTGTAGCAATTGGTACAAGGACAACATCGCCAGACACACTTGAGGTATCGTTTCCGAATATATTCTCAAAATTTGCAGCCTCGGAGCCTTTCATATTCTTATACGCGAGGAAATCATCTCGAAGAGCGATAATTCCGTGATTCTGGCTATAGAGCTTGCTCATTTTCGGGTCCTGGGCCAATCTTTTACGAGCATAAAGTAAATATTCCTCGGTAATTTTTGCGTGCTTCTTGAACCTGGGGGGCTTTCCAGAAATCAGGGATTTGGTGCATTCTCGCCATTGTCGGTACATTAGATATGGCTCTTCAAACTTATATTTAAAGAACCAGTCGTTATATTGTGTCTGTCCCACATCAGATGATATTCCGCAGCGAACGACAAATCCTTCAACGTCTCGACCCCCATGTGCACCAAACTCGGCAACTTTCTCTAGGAAATCCTTGACGGTTTCGATATCGTCGAAAGACTCTAGGTCGACTTTCCGAAACCCCCATTCATCGGCAAATTGCTGGACCAGGTGGCTTGGATAAGTCATGAACTCCGGTATGTTGACGTTGATACCATGGAGATACAAGCCAGCCTTGTCCGGGCCGTAAGCCAGAATGTGTTCCTCGAAGTCGTCATCGCACAGTTCGGCAACCGCTGTGACATTTCTACGGCGCAACTCCCGAGCGAATTCTTCTCTTGTTTTGCCAATGGTGGCTAACTGCTTGTTCACCCATTTTTCGCCAGCACTGGCATGGCTCACGTCGACATCGCTTCGGTCCCCGGTTGAATGCTTGCTGCAAACAAGTAGAGTCTCATCCTCCAGGCCGCTGATAAATATGATACAGCCGTTCTCCTTCAAAGTGAGCTCGTAGGGGCCGCGTGTCTTGCGCTTAATGTTCTCCCATCTTGTGTCGTAGACTTCGCCAACGTTGAAGAATTTATCATAGCCTCTCACGGCGATCTCGTGGTCATTGCGGCGATTCCTGGTAGTGAAGAGACCGCGCGCATAGGTAGGTAGATTGGGTTTCTTGTAATCCCAATCTTGAAAGCGCCACGAGTCGACGCTGATACCGTCAGGCGACCCAGGAATCTTGAAAGTAGTTTTCTTGACCTTCAACTCACTCTTCATTTTCTTGGTCCCGTCGTTCAGAGCGTGAACAAGCTGCGAGTTCTGCTGCGGATCCTGGTCACAGTAAGGAGCCTTGGAAAGATCCATGATTCGCTCCTGGCTGTGAGATGAACAGCTGAAGAGACGAATAGCTCCAGATGGGAACCTGGGTTGCGAGGCTAGATGAACGTGACGGACTGTCGAACCCCCAACAATGAGTCTACTAGCAGTGCCAGAGGTGATAGATGTACAACGAAGAAAAGAGCTGCGGGTGTAGTAGTCAGCTGGCTAATCGTCCTCGCTACTACGTGCCTACCCGGGCAGGGAGCTTAGGAGGGAGTAACTTTGAGTATTATGTAGTGGGGAAGGGGGGATGGTGAGATGGGATGGGCTTGAGATATGGTGAAGTAAAGAGAGGGAGGTAGAGAGATGTGAGTGCGGCTTTCTGCGTTTTATATCTCTCAGAAGGTTCCAGGAGTACAAGGCGCAGAAGGAGAATTTAAAGAAATATGTGAGTTGCTATCAGCGATTTATTCCTAGGAATGTTTTAGCAGTACCTGCAGGACACACTGTTACACGACGTAAAACTTCCAAGGTTGGGTAGGTGGTGAGGTTGAGACAGTGGGAATTAGAAAAAGGCCAGTACTCTTGTTTAGGGAGTTTCTAGACTCACTTGCACTGCTGCATAGCTACCTCAGGTACCCAAGAGACTACCTAGGTTCCTAAGTAAAGGTAGGTATGTACTTAAGTGTATACCTAGGAGGTATACCTACCTAACATACCGCTTGCGGGGTGGGTAGGAGATAGGTACCTAAACAACCCGTTGCCGAACAAAGTAAAAATAGGTAAAAACCTTAAGTAGGTAGGTACCTCCTAAAGAAAGAATAAAGGGCAGGCGAGATGGCGAGATGGCGAGATGGCGACATGACGACATGACGACATGACGAGACGGCACATGACGCTGCTATACCTAACCTAAGTACCCAACCTACGTATCAAGTAGGCGGCTTATTGGGCTGCTGGTTTTTGGGGGGGGTTTTTATACACGTTGCCCTAATCCGAACGAGGTAACACGCCTTGACTATCTACAACATTATTCTCTACTTAGGTATCTAAGAACCCCACTAAAGGTAGGGAATGCCCTACGCTCACCTCTGCGCGGGTTTGGCGGGGTGTCTAATTCTGACGGTGCGTCACACCGCGAACCCCTCCAGAAAAAAGTTCAGCTGCCTTATCAGAGTCCCTTCTATTCACCCTAAGCACCTAGATAATAGTTGAATTTGTGCGCCTTGTATCAACGCCAATTTACTTAGGCAGCATCCTAGTATCAGCGCCAATTGATCGTTAGATCCTTACACCAACCTACCTAGAACCAACGGGTTTTCTTGGGGCTTATCACTATGCCTGCTAATCCTTTCCTTCTTGCTGCCGACAACAGCCCGGCCCTTCTCCCCCTCCTTCGCGAAAACCCGGCTGTAGCCGCCGAACAAGACGAGCATGGTTACTCTCTAATCCACGCCGCTGCTAGCTATAACCACTTGGATCTCCTACGTGCCCTCGTCCAAGAATTCAAAGTCGATGTTAACCTACGCGATGAAGATGAGGAGACCGCCTTATTTGTTGTTGAGACGGTCGATGCTGCCAAGGTCCTCGTCGAAGAACTCGGCGCCGAGCTCATGATTAAAGGGTCTGACGGCTGCAATGCTCGTCAAAGGATCACTGAGGAAGGCGAATTCCCAGAAGTAGCTGAGTACCTCAGGCTCAAAG